TGATACACTGGAAAAAATCAACATCTAGATAAGTCATTTTTTCTTAAAATATGTGCATTTGTTCTTGGATTGAGGAGGTAAAAGAGACATTTTGCCAATGGAACAAGACAATTTACACTTAAAATAAGAAAACACAACTGCATTGTCTTATTTTAAGTACATATTTTCTAATTATCTTATTTTAAGAGTGAAAATACTCATTCCATTGGCAAATTATCTCCTTTACCTACTCAGATTAAAGATAAATACACTTAATTTAAGACATTTTCACTTATTTCTAGATAATTTTTCCAGTGTAAATGTTGCAACAATCCTGAATTCTTTCCAACATTAACATTAACCATCTGATTGGCTAAAGGTTTCTCTGCATAAAACACCAAGCAGGTTTGACTCAGTGGGAATAAAGTCATTGCTAAATGTAACCACAGCATTTGGTTTGATGTGGGACTCTGAACACAGAGATGTGTCAAACTCGAGGCCCCTGGACCAAATCTAAACCGTCACAGTAATAAATCGGGCCCCCACTGGGCCCTCATTTAATCACTATAAAAATGTACGTTTTTTTTATTTTTAATAACTGTTTATTACCCCTGATTTGAACAAAAAGAAATGGATTATCTACATTTAAAATACAAAAAATGACTCCACTATCTTATTTTAAAGGGAAACTCAGTTTTTTTACATTGGGCCCTTGTTTTTACGTTATTACATCATGAGTTTTGGTTCATTTGGAGCCGTTCTGAAGATATTCCGTTAGGTTATATCCAGGTAACGTCTTCCTATGGGCAACGACTTGAAGGCTCAAACTAAACTGTTCATCATTTATCATTTATGGTACGCCAGTATTCAGAACCTGTAGGCCAATCACTGTCCCCCAGACATCCGCCGTTATATTTTTTATATTTTTTAAAAACAAAGCGGCGCATGTATGACGTCATCCGGAGTTTGTGCCTTCAAGTCGTTGCCCATAGGAAGATGTTAGTTGGATATAGCCTAAAAAAATATCTTCAGAACGGCTCCAAATGACACTAAACTCATATGGGAGAGGAGAACATGATGGAATAATGTAAAATCAAGGGCCAAATGTAAAAAAATGGCGTTTCCCTTTAAGTGTTTAATATCTAAATATCTTATATTAAGTCCAAAAATACTCCTGCCATCAGCAGATCTTCTGATTTACCTTCTTAAATGAAGGAGAAATACAATAAAAATATTAATATTTGTTAATAAAAAGAAATCAACATCTTATTTTTAAAGCAACAACCGGCCATTTAAAGGGTCAATGAGCGACTTTCATCTGTGCTGACAGTTAATCTTCTAAAATATACAAACCGTTCGCTAACAGAAGTTTTCAACCTGCAGCTCTTTATTGGTTCTGCCTCCAAAGCTCTGATTTAACAAACGGCCGATGAAGAAGTGAACAGAAGTTTCAAAAAGGAAGCTTTTTTAATTCAAAATGTCAGAAATAGTTCCAGGCTTTATACCAAACAAAGCCTTGTTTTTTTTTTGAAACAGCCAAAAAAAAGAGTTTCCTGGATGGGAAGCAAAACGTCTTCAAAGTCCAGTGGATTGTTTTTAACTTTTTTGGATTGACTATGACCTGGATGACTGAGAATCTTCACCATTTTAAAGGAGCAGAAGGAAACGTTGCTCAGAAAGAATCGGGACAGGTTCAGTACCGACCGGGTGAACGGTACCAGACGCAAAGCAGAACCTCAGTTCCCAAACATCTCTGCTTCTGAACCAAAGGCGGAAGCGACCCAAATATTGGTCGGACAGTTAATGACTGGCATAGAGACACACTTTTAGAAATAGTTGTACTTTACTGTACTTTTACTTTAGTAACGTTCTTGTGAGAATAAAGCTGCTCTTACTGTATGCGAGTTAAATTCCTGGTTATTTAACCCACCACAGGTAATTGATCTGCTCAGAGATCAGGTGAATAATTCATCAAAGCTGGACGTTCTTTTCTTATCCTGACATGTATTTATTTCCTACTATAAAGACTGGATTTATAAATCTATGTTGAACAAAACTGATTTGGAAGATGTGTTCTCTTATTTATTTATTTTGTAATTCAGATTTGAATCCCCAGAATTTGGACATAACTCTGATTACATCATTTTAAACATTAAATCAGATGTGATCAGCAGAGCTGTCAAGTTACAAAGTACAAATACTTTATTACTTTAAGTAAGTAGAAATGTTGGCTGTCTATACTTTACTGAAGGAATTATGTATTTTTAGACAACTTTTTACTTTCTACTCTTTACATTTTTTTAAATAGACTCATTAGTTTGTTTCATTGAAGCTCATTTTCATTACGGCCTGTTGGTATTTAAAAAATAATAATAATAATAATAATCAAAATAATTACTTTCATCCAGACAATTCAACCCTTTGTGGTTGGACTTGGTGCTGCCCCAACTTGTTGTTCACCACATACTAAATTCTCATCTTTGTTGGTCCCTCTGGCAGCTCTGCAAACTAATGCACTGAAAAAAATGTAAATCTACTGTAAGTAAGTATTTTGTTTCTTAAAATAAGATAATTTTTTCTTGACTTGAGGTAAGTCAGAGGTTTTTTTTCCAATGGAACAAGACAATTTAAATTTAAAATAAGAATAAAAAATTGCATGGTCTTATTTCAAGGGCATATTATCTAATTATCTTATTTTATGGGTAGAAACGT